GTACATGCTTGGCTCTTGCTTGGGGGGCCCGCGCCCCGTCTCCTCTTGCGCGGTCATGCGTGCGGCCTTGGTGCTTCGAGGCCTCCCCAGCCGAGGCATGGGATGGCTGGTGCCTGGGCCCCTGGGGGTCGCCTGCCCACCTGGCTTCTTGATTTATTCAGGGGCCTCTGACTTCCTTTTGGTCCCCTCCAGCCAGTAGGGGTGCCAGGAGGACGGGCTGCCTCTGGCGTCTCAGTGCATCCCAGGGGAGGCAGGGATGTTTCCCTGTGTTAGCTGCACATTTGGGCTCAAAATGTTTTGGCTGACTGGGCTTGTTCTCTGGTGTTCAGACTAAGCTCTGCTTTCTGCCGCTGGCACAGAAACCCTGAAGGCTTGTGTGAGTTTGGTCTTTGGTTGCCCCTTTGGAATTTCAAGGTTCTCGACATTTGGCCTGTTGCTTCAGCACAAACTGAGCGGCCGAGAAGTCTCTTCTGTTTCCTTAGTGACTGAGTCTGTCCTCACACTGTCTCACACTTCTCTATACTGTCCTCACACTGTCCTCACATGTCCTCATACTGTCTCACCTGTCCCACACTGTCCTCACACTGTCGCTCACACTGTCCTCACAACTGTTTTCGCTCATTACTTTGTCCCTCACACTGTCCTCACACTGCCGTAAAGAAACACCCGAGGCTGGGAATATGGAATTTATAGCAGAAAAGCGGGCTTTACTAGTGGACGAGCTCGTGTCCTCACACTTGTCGCCTCCATGTTCCCTCACATCTGGTCGGACTCATTAACTTGTCCTCACCTGTCCTCGAGACTGGTCCTCACACTGTCCTGCACACTGTTCCTCATACTGTCCTCACACTGTCCTCCACTGCCGTAAAGAAACACCAGAGGCTGGGGAATTTATTTAGGGAAAGAGGTTTAACTGGCTCACGTTGTGTGCGGGCCCGCGTACAGGAAGCGTGGCCGCGGAGGCCACAGGAGACTTACAGTCCTAGGGGAAGGTGAAGGGAAGCGGTCATGTCTTACAGGGCCGGAGCAGGAGGAAGGGAGAGAGTGGGGAGGTGCCACGTACTTTTAAACAACCAGATCTTGTGAGAACTCACTCAGTATCACAAGAACAACACCGGGGGAAATTCACCCCCATGATCCAGTCACCTCCCACCAGGTCTCACCTTCAGCACTGGGGACTGCATTTCAGCGTGAGATTTGGGTGGGGACACAGATCCAAACTTAGATTGCCATGTTCATCTCCTTCTTCATTTTAAATTTGATACTAGAACTCTTCATTCTTGAATTGGAGACATGTGTTTTAGTTGAAGAATATTTTAAAATACATATTAATAAGCATAAAATGTGCAATACCGTCCGTAGCAAGATGTTAAAAGAACTTTTTGATGTGCTAACATTTGGGAGTATTAAAAATATGTTTTACTTCTTGTAGTAAGTAAAGTAAGAAGTGAAGAGAAAGATGAAGACTCTGAAAGAGGAGATGAAGATAGAGAAAGAAGATACCGAGAAAGAAAGGTATACGAAGCAAGGCCTGGGGAAAGGTTTTCCAAATGTTGCCAAGTAAAGGATATTTTAAATGTTATTGTTAGAAGTATTTTTAGAAAATGTCCTAAGCCAGGATTTCAGGCCTGGAAAAGGCCTTCAGCACTGTGTGTAGTCAGTTTCTTTCTCCCCATGGTCGAATGTGTTTTTCTGATTCCAAAGGTAATTTGTGATTATTTTAGAAAATTTAGAAGATACAGGCCGGGTGCAGTGGCTCACGCCTGTAATCCCAGCACTTTGGGAGGCCGAGCGGCCTGGTAAATGCTTTTTGAGTGAATGCACTTTGTCTCAGTGGTCTTTGAAAGTTTAACTTTGCCCTGATCTTTTAAAGTGTCCACTCTCTGAATTTTACATCTGATGCCTTTTTTGTGTGCAGATTCAGAAGTGAAAGTCCAGCTTTCCTTGTTGGATGATGCTTTGGTGTCATCGGTACCTGCCTGGCTCTGTTTGCCCCCCGTCTCTCTTGCCGGTCATGCTGGGCCTTGGTGCTTCAGCCTCCCCAGCCGAGGATGGATGCTGTAGCCTGGTCCCCTGGGGGGTCTGCTGCACCTGGCTTCCTTGTTTATTCAGGGGCCTCTGACTTCCTTGGTCCCCTCAGCAGTAGGGGTGCCAGGAGGTACGGGGGCTGCTCTGGGTCCTCAGTGCATCCAGGAGGGCAGGTGTTTCCCTGGAGCTCACATTTGGCTAAAGTGTTTGGCTGACTGGGCTTGTTCTCCTGTTCAGACTAAGCTCTGCTTCTGCGTGACGCACAGAAACCCTGAAGGCTGTGTGAGTTTGGTCTGGTGCCCTCTTGAATTTCCAAGGGTTACTCGGACATTTGCCTGGTTGCTTCAGCAGCAAACTGAGCGAGGCGAGAAGTCTCTCTGTTCCTTAGTGACGAGTCTGTCCTCACACTGTCCTCACACTGTCCTCACACTGTCCTCATACTGTCCTCACACTGTCCTCACACTGTCCTTCATTGTATTTAAAAAATATTCTTCAACTAAAACACATGTCTCCAATTCAAGAATGAAGAGTTCTAGTATCAAATTTAAAATGAAGAAGGAGATGAACCATGCAATCTAAGTTTGGATCTGTGTCCCCACCCAAATCTCACGCTGAAATGCAGTCCCCAGTGCTGAGGTGAGACTGGTGGGAGGTGACCTGGATCATGGGGAGATTTCCCCCGGTGTTGTTCTTGTGATACTGAGTGAGTTCTCACAAGATCTGGTTGTTTAAGTACGTGGCACTCCCCACTCTTCTTCCTCCTGCTCCGGCCTGTAAGACATGACGCTTCCTTCACTCCCCTAGGACTGTAAGTCTCCTGTGCCGTCCGCGGCCACGCTTCCTGTACACCCCCGCACAACTGTGAGCCAGTTAAACTCTTTTTCTCTATAAATTCCCAGCTCGGGTGTTTCTTTACGG